ATATATATATATATATATATATATATATATATATATATATATATATATATATATATATATATATTTAGTGCGCGCTATCTAGATGTTTCTATTTCTAAACGCCTGACATTTGCTGATTACTATGCACAAATTTGTGCATCAATCTGTATATTTTGTTTGTCACGGAGATATTTTTATAACTCGTGAAATTAATTTTACATCGTTTTTTTTTTTAATTGATTTCATTAACGCATTGTTAAATGTTCGTTTTTTATTTCATATAAATTATGGAATTCCACACATTTCCTAAACACACATATCTGTTATTTTGCTGATAATATAAATACTTGCGTTATCTTTATTAAAATAAATGTATCTTTCCATTATTTATTTTTACAAATTTCGATTTATGTTAGCGACAATATTGCTGTCACAAGAATTTAAGTTTCGACCATTATTTTAGGATTAAAAAATTAGACCATTAATTAATATTATACTGCAAATTATAATTGTTATAATGATGGGGAAAACATTATAGAATTGAATACTATTAAAAGAAACATACAGTATTAAAAAATAATAGCAATAAATCAAAATATTGCAATTATTGTAGGTACTCTGATTTTTCAATTAAGGCTTCATAAAAATATGATTTGATATTAATTTAATAATTATGAAATTTGTAGGATTGTATTTTCAATTTAAATCTGAACATTAAAGCCGTCATTATTAATTACATAGATTTTGCTGCAACATGCAAGAGTGCATTAAAAGTGCGCATAAAATAATAATTCGTTAAAAATATCTACGCAATAATTTTGATACGTTGCAATTTATTTGTGTTTGAAAAAAATACCGCCTTATCGTAGCTGTTATGCTATATTGTTTTATATTTTAAGAATAAATTTTTTTTTATTAATTTGAAGCCGACGAAAATGTCGTGGCACATAATTCCAATTGCCACGAGTCGGACACATTTTTCGCGATTGCTCACATATTTTGCTTTCGTATCATTGCACTAACGGTTAACATTCACGTCGGACGTGCTTGCACGTGCTTCTCATTCGCGAAAGCCGTCGGTGATATACATCTTCCAGAGCGATGGAAATTATGCCGCACGACGGGGCGTACCGTCGCTAATTAGACATGCGCCCTCGAACTCACGTCGCTGCATAATATCTCCGCAAGTCGTACTTTTATTGCATGTGAGGTCTAATTAAGGTAGCGAAACAAAAACCACAGTGCCCGACAGTAATGAAGGTACTTGCTCCTAGAGATACTCCAATTTAATCGACTTCAGATACTTTTGTCTTCATTTGATATCGAATTTTGTTCACTCATTTGGTGCCTGAAATATCCATGCCACTCGATACTTTTTCAAAAGTAAAGTACCGTCTCTTCGTGATATCGGTTTGTATAATATGTTAACAAGGATCGATGCGAATAATTATTGGACATCTTTCTTCTATAAAAATGCACGAAATATTTTGCGCTACAGTATTATGAAACACACAATACCATATTTTTATCGGTGCATACAGTTTTATTGAGAATATAAAATTGTTAACGCTTTTATTCGGTATTTTATATCTGCTGATAAAATATTAATATATAAAAAAAAATTAATAATTACATGTGTGAGGTCCGTGATTTTTATTCCGTCAATACTTTAATGCCGACTATATTCGGTCGCGAATAATGTTCGAGTGATGACATCACGTGTCTGAAGCGTCGATCAATACCTGCGATCATCCTGATGGCAAATTACCTAGGTTCCGAACTTTCCGCACTGCATTAATCTATTCCTGATCGCTTGACGAAATCAACACTTCGGACGTGCACGGTTTAGCAAACTTTGGCGTCGGCGGATGTTTGTTTCTGTCTTCCCAAAATTTTGCAAATACGCTGCGGAATAAAATCGTGATTTCTGAGATGACAATCTCTGTATAAATTTCATTCCGTTTAATCTTCTTAGATTTCGCCGCTTCGATATAATTGCTAGAAAAATTTTGTGGACACAATTCTCAGTCTTGCGTTTTTAGAAACAGCAAGAAACTCAAATATATAGTTCGAATTAATATGACTTAAGAGTCGCAATTTATTTATTCGGAATAGACGCTTTGTTACAGTCTTCCGCGATTTTTCGCATTTCATATCTGCTGCAGGCAGCATGAAATTGAAACAAAAGTCAGCGAAACTAAAAAGTAAAGCGGCGTCACGGTTGCGGAGAGATAAGCGTCAAATAGATGCCGCAAAAACGCCTTTCCACCCGTGAATAAAACTATCTTTAATCGCTTATTTATCTAAAGAAGTTTTAGCTAACGAATCTCTAACTGCCGCGTTTTGCTGACGACAGTGAAATGAAAAAAAAAGAATGGGAGTCGGTTTAAAAATTACGTTGGTTTTATTTTATCGGATTTATATAATTCTCTCTGAAGTTGATCTTTTGTGCGATATTTAGAACAACTATAACCACAGAGCGTGTCAACAAATTTTCGAAACATCTAAAAAGAAAAGTTATAGTCAGAAATAATTTTTTTTATTTTGTCAGTTTGTTGTCTCAAATGAAATGATATACTTCGAGGCTACTCAAGACAATGTATGGTCAGAACAATATCGTTAACAACTCCAGTCTATAATATTGTGAATTTCTGGGAAAGTAGGGCGTTATTCTCATTCTTTTACAAAAAGGAGAAAGCTGTATGAAAAGTGTAAAGTGCTGGGCATTACTCTTTGCACAGATGGTACATTCGCACAGTATTTCATCTGAGAACGTAACAGACGCACTCAGCATTAATTCTCTCAACATTCTCCATTAAACTTGCGAATAGACCAAGCAAGTTTGTTCCCTTAATAGAACTTTTAATGAAATCTTCTAACGCAAAATGCGTTCATTATTCCGCGAGATAATCGTATCGCGCAAAGAATACGGAGATAGTTTAGCGCGTTTTGCGTTGCGAGGCGCGTTATATCGCAAGCGCGATACGAAGGGGTTGCGCGCCGCGACAGGAACAATGCATTTCGCCGTCACTTCGTCCTTGATATCCAAGTTATTTGATAAAGCTGAAAAATTCGATCGGTTCGACGGCGGATCGAGATACCTTTTATCGCGGCCGGCCGGCTGTGAATTAATCCCAGCGCTTCAAAAGTTGAATAGCAAGTTCCGAATATAAATCTCTCGGCTTCGCGCGCGCATGACCGTCCGTACCAAACGCAGATATAACTTACGAACATTAGTCATTGATATAATCGATCTCGGCGGTGCGGTAACTAATCTCGCGTGACGTACCACGACCGTCGACCGTAACGTAAATTTATTGTCAGCTAATTAGCCATTCCGTCGTTCGCCCGCCCCTCCGCATTCGGATGGGATTTCTGTGTTAATTCGATGCATCGGTCTTCCCCGCGAATTTGCGAATCGAATCGTGTTTCCGCGGAACGGATTGGTCATCGTGCCACTCCGTTGTGGAACCGTGTGTTCCATTAAGCAAAATGAAAGCACGATGATTTCCGTAACGAGCATTTTTTTGGCGTAGAAAATTAACGCCCGCGAAGTGTTTTAACTTTGACGCGCCATTCGCGCGCGCACGTTATTGCTGCGTGATTTTGTAACGCGTTTTCGCCACTCTGATATCGCGGTTGATGGAAAAGTTAGCGTAATAGATTACGAGTTCACGAGCCGGGATTTGGCTTTTGTTGCGGGAAGCCCTTTGTAGCGCACGGATAGTGTTTCTCAAATCATAATAGTTGGCGAAGCAGCTCGTCGTGTATTCCGCGGTGCTGACCCATACCCTAGGGTGCTACCAGAGTTGCAAGACAGGTAGTGACGTCATCGACCCAGCTGCTTCTCTCTTTTGTGTTCGTCTTTCCACTCTTGAAGACGCTCGCCGCGTCTGTAGCGAGTGTAATAGCTCGAGGCTTCGTTAAACGTAATACGCGATCGTGTACGTGCTAGCGAAATATTATTTCAAGGGGAAATAAAGAGTGAGAGAGAGAGAGAGAGAGAGAGGGAGAATCTTCTTTCTGGTCGGAGATGTATATACGTCGTCTACTTTTTGTCTTATATATTACATATTAAAAGGATGTTGAACGTTGAAAGAACATATGACCCCTTCTTACATCATACTGTGAATTCTATCTTACATATTGCGCTGAAATAATATTGATACGATAAAACTCCATTTCCGATTTTATCCCGGAAAATCGGAAAAATATCCTGTCGTAGATTATCACAAAAGGAAAAAAATGTGCATGAGATATTAAAAAAAAAAAAGCAATATAGTTTTAATATAAATTAAGGATTTCCATGCATGAATATTGATCGCTTTTATACATGCTTTCTCGCAGAGATAAACATTGAAACGCGCTTTGTCGAATTAGCTTGACAATTCGCCGGGTCATACATTTTACTCGAATATTTGAACGCGAAAATTAAAGCAAAAATAATTTAAATAAAAGCTTCGCGGGATTTTTTAAATTTTACGAAGTTTGTTTGATTGCCATTGGA